TAGCCGGACCTAATTGAAAAAGAGAAGAGTCATTAATTTTCCAGCTGAGTGTAGTGCACACCTACACATAAGTACATGGGAGCTGAGGCATGAGAGTGAGAGTGCAAGTCCATCCTAGGCTATGCTACATATGAGAGCCCTTGGAGAGAGAGAGAGAGAGAGAACTTTGAGAGATGATATAGCTTTAGTTTGAAAATGTAGAATCTTAGAAATAGCTGTATTCATTACAGCATTAGATCTGTATGTAACATAGCATACTTGTAGGAGTAAGAGGTGATTTTTAGGATCAGTTCTCAGAGACTAAATTCAGGTCACCATGTTGTTAGTAAGAGCCTTTGTTACTGAGTCATCTCACAGGCTCTTTTTATTTATGTACTTCTGTTTTGGTTTATTTGAGGTAGGGTCTTAAGCTAGTGTTGAATTTATAATGTAGTTGGGGATGACCTTGAGCTCCTAACCCACTTGCCCCATCTCCCAAATTCTGGGATTACAGGTGTAAGCTACCATGTGTGCCTTTTATTTTCTTATTCTAAAGCAGGGCTTTGAACTTTGATATATTTGACCGCAGCAGAAAAACAATCATAATCATAAGAAAAGCATTGACTAATTTTTAAATAACTTATTTATTTTATATACATTGGTATTTTACCTGCACCTGTGTCTGTGTGAGGTTGTCAGATCTTGGAGTTACAAACAGTTGTGAGCTGCCATGTGAGTGCTAGGAATTGAACCAGGGTCCTCTGTAAGAGCAGTCAGTGTTCTTAACCCCTGAACCATCTCTCCAGCCCCCAAAGCACTGACTCTTCAAATCAAGGGACTTGTTCAGCATTTGGTTGTATTGTGGATAGCATGGTTTTGTTAATTGTAACAAATATGATAAATTAGTGCTTCTAAAAGGAATGATACTTGAGTTAAGTGACTCTTGAGCAAAGGGGATGCACTAAAGTGTGTTTTGAACCTTAGAAAAGAATGTAAGTGGCTGTTCTTTTCCTCTCTAATCAAGGGAATGCTGCATTTCTCTAGTTTATGAGATACAGTGAAAAGCAAAGAAGCATTCCAATTCATTGTCTACTATTCTTTTCACAGTCAAGTCCATCATCTCCTGAACCAGCCAGTCTTCCTGCAGAAGATATTAGTGCAAACTCCAATGGCTCCAAACCTGTAGAAGTCATGCTAGATGATGACAGAGAAGATCTTTTCGCAGGTAATTGTCATATCTTGACTTTTTTTAGTAATAGCCAACTATATAATATTATATGCTATTAGAATACTCTTTAAGGCAACTGAAATTCTGTGTCTTAATGGGAGCTCTTGTAACACCCTAAAAAGTGAATCTGAGCATGGTTGATGCCTATAATCTTAGAATTAGGGATACTGAGGCATGAAGATTGCTATGAGTTCAAGGGCAGCCTAGCTTATAAGGTGAGACCTATAACCAACCCAAAACAAACAAAAATTTAGCAGGATAGGGACTATCTAGTTAGGTCACCCTGTAAGAAATACACTCTGTAAGAAATATACACAGACCATTAAGAAAAGCAAAACTGCCCTTTATTTTTAAGCATTTGAAAACGAAGTACAGGGTATTGACCATATCATTGGGAGGTAGCAATGTTGTTTTTGTTGTTATTGTTACTTACAAGTCATCACAAAGCAAAATCAAAGTATGCATTTAAGAATCAACTAGAGAGATGCTTCAGCAGCTCTTCCAAAGGGAACCAAGTTTGATTCTTAGCACCCACATAGTGGCTCATAGCCATCTGTTAACTCTAGTTCCATATGATGCTTTCTTCTGGCCTCTGGTGGCACCAGGTATACATGTGGTACATAGACATATCTGCAGGCAAAACACCATGCACATAAAAAATAAAAAAGAATCACTGTTGGGGCTATAGAGATGGCTCAGAGGTTAAGAGCACTGATTGTTCTTCCAGAGGTCCTGAGTTCAATTCCCAGCAACTACATGGTGGCTCACAACCATCCACTATGAGATCTGGTGCCATCTTCTGGTGTGCAGATATACATGGAAGCAGAATGTTGTATGCATAATAAATAAAATCTTTAAAAAAAAAAGAATCACTGTTACAGGTTTGCTGTTAGATAAGTTGATGGTTGAGTGTGTTCTAGTTATAAGGATACAATTTGGTGTAGTCCATTCTAACTTAAAAAGAATGCTGACTTTTCTAAATAATTATGCCTTGAAATTAAATTAAGAATTAGGTTAATATTTTAATATTAAAAGCAAAAATTAAAGTTTATTATTTATACAAAATTAAAATAGTGAATATTTTTGTATTTAGCAATTAATCTGTGACAAAGATTGAGAGTATGAGGCCATTCTAGGAATGACAAGATCAGGGATACATAGTAAGACCCTGTGAGAAAGAAAGAAAGAAAGAAAGAAAGAAAGAAAGAAAGAAAGAAAGAAAGAAAGAAAGAAAGAAAGAAAAGAAAGGGAAGGAAGGGAGAGAGAGAGAGAGAGAGGTAGAGAACAGCAATGAATTGTCAGTATTTGTTTAAAGACTAAATAATTTGGAGTTGGTGAGAAGGAATCAGTAGATGAAGTTCTTTCTGTATAACACTATTTTTTAGTTTGACCTGGTAAACCCTCAGGAAATTGAGAGAACTGGCTCCTGAAAATTGTCCTCTGACCTCTACATAGTACATGTATCAGTGGCACGTATTCCTGCACTACCATACATACACCATGCATACATACTCATACAACAAAAATTTTAAATAAAATAATTTTTATGCTTTACAGTTTAACTTAGTTGTGTTTGTTTGTTTGCTTTTATTTTTCTGAGACAGGGTTTCTCTATAGCTTTGGAGTCTGTCCTGGAACTCGCTCTATAGACCAGGCTGGTCTCAAACTCACAGAGATCTGCCTGCCTCTGCCTCCCAAGTGCTAAGATTAAAGGCGAGTGCCACCACTGCCCAATTTAGCTGTGTTTTATAATGACATCTTAGGTTATCTAAGACATCTTTGTAAAAATTATACTGTTTGGTTCATATTTATAATGCAGCGAAGCAGATCTATGTCTCTTCCTATGGAAGAGTATGATGCTAGGAACCTGTAAGTACAGCATCTGCTATCAGGATGATGAAACTTGTTGTCTGGTAGTAATAACATATTTTCAGTGTATAATATGCAATTCTGGCTAAAGCAAAGTAGCCATTGTGATTTTTTAAGCCCCAAAGAAGCCAGATTATGTTGCTGTGTCCTGTTGTGCTTTAGATAAGTTATGTAGTTTATGGGTAGTTCATATCAGCACCACACTGGAAAAAATAATCTGTGATATGTTGTTACTTCCTCATCAGATGTTTACCAAATGGATTCAACTATCTAACCCTTCTCCATTTGGTTCATCCTAAAGAATGCCTGAATATTGACAAAATCAGTGTGTGTTCATCCTCAAGTTATAGCTTTAGATCTGTTTGGAACTAAGCCCTGTGTATTTGTAGCTCTTTACTTAAGCGAAAAGAAGTCACATCAGCCATTTAAAGTCTGGACTTAGTGATACATACCTCCAATTCCAGCACTTAGCGGGTGGCAAGTGCAGGATCAGGTTCTCCTCAGTAACATGAGTTGGAGCATTCTTGTGACTGTGTCTTTTGTTGTTCCATTGTGTAACCTTGGCTGTTCTGGAACTCACTCTGTAGACCAGGCTGGCCTCAAAACTCATAGATCTGCCTGCCTCTGCTTCCCAAGTCATGTGCCGCCATAGCCTGCTGAGACCGTGTCTTAAAAACCAAACAACAAACAAAATTTAAGGCAGACCATCAGTATCCTGAATCTAAGCCTATCCATTAGATCATGCTTAGCCTGACTTAAGTTCCGGGTCCTTTGTAGCTGAAGCAGCTACTAGTACAACAAGCACAGAAAACTTTTTTTTTTATCAGTGTAGTAAAATGTTATTGAAAAACATTAGATAGCTTTAGATTAGTGCTTCTCAACCTTCCTAATACTGTGGCCCTTTAGTACAGTTTCTCATGTTATAGTGTCTCCCAACCATAAAATTATTTCATTGCTACTTCATAACTAATTTTGCTACTGTTATGAATCGTAATGTAAAAAGTATTCGATATATGACATGGGGAGGTGACAACTCACAGGTTGAGAACACCGAGTTTAAAACAATGTCAGTGGAATCTTTTGTTGGTTTGTTGTTGCTTGTGTGTTGTGGCTATAGCAGTGCTTCCTGGGGATCATAGGTTTGATGGGCTCTGCTGCTTATGTTAATGTTGATGCTTTGATCCTTTATAAACTTCTCACACCTTGGTTTCTTTAAGACTTACTTATTTTTATGTGTCTGAGTATTTTTTTTTTTCATTTGTATATGTGCACCATTGCATGCAGTGCCTACAGAGGCACTAGATTCCCTGGAACTGGAGTTATGGATGGTTTTGAGCTGCCATGTGGGTTCTGGGAACCAGAAGAATAGCCAGTCATCTTAACTGCTGAGCCATCCCTTTAGCCCATCACACCTAGTTTGATGTACTACTTTTTACTTTCATACAGTGTTGACTGTTTTTTGTTTTTGATACAGATCACTATATAGATCAAGCCTCAAATTCATAAGGTTATACCTGTCTCTGCCTCCCAAGTGCTGGGATGAAAGGCCAGCACCACCATGCCCAAACATATTGTTGACTATTTTCATCTCTTTAAAAATTTTTCCTATTACATTTATTTATTTATTTATGAGTGTGTGTGTGTGTGTGTGTGTGTGTGTGTGTGTATGTACATACCACAGCATGTGCATGGAGGTCAGAGGATAACTTGTAGAAGTTTGCTCTCTTCCTACTGTGTAGGTCCCAAGGATCAAACTCCGATTGTCAGGCTTAGTGAAAATCACCTTTACCCAATGAACCTGTTTTCATTTCTTTAAAATAAATAAATAGGTAGATAAATAAATAAAAATGTTAGCAGTCTGCAAAACCTGAAGTGGTGTCTATGCTTTTAGTTTGTGCTGTCAGGGTCATATATAGTCTACTGTATCTGTATTCTGTATTTTCCCCTTTGGTTACCATAGTTTGTAGGATTTTAGTTATTGATCAATTTGATGGCATGTCAAGTTGTGTAATTTCAAGTTGACTGCTTAAAGTGATTTACTGACCACAATTAGTACTTTCTCCAAATTCCAAGAATCCAGAAACCAAGAACCAAGACCGAAAACTGTTGGTCTGATCCCTTGTTTGCCTTATAATTTCATCTTCTTGGTATCAATTCTACAAACCAGTAGGACTATTTTGTCCTAGGCTCACTGATTAAATTTCACTGTCCTAGCCTTTTTTTTTTTTTTTTTTGCTTCTACTTATGCTGTTATTCTGTTTGCATGGAATTCTTCTTCAACATCTTCCTATATCTATTTAAACAATCTCAAGTCAGAGTCACAGACTATTTCTGGTTTTCCCCACCCTGAAGTTTTAACTCCTGTGTCTACTCAAATTATAGTGTTTGTTGTACTGTTCATATAGTAATTGAATGTCTTATAACATTCTTTATTGTTCTCTTAAGTCTTTTATTATTATTTAACATTCCACATGTCTTGTTTTCTCAACTAGATTATAAACTCCCTGAGGGCAGGTATGATTTTTTTCCATTTCTTTGTGTTTCTTCATTGCATTTAGCACAGTAGTGCATAATCTATAGACCAGTTTATTGATATGGTTTGATTTTTAAATATACTTAATTTTAGATATTTCAAGTGAATGAGCATTTAAAATTAAAACCTAAACATCTCTTTGCTTTGTGTCATATTTGTATATTAAACTAATATCCAGTAATCTTTGGCAATTAGTTGCTTTAGATTACTAACGTGGTGAGTTTTTCGTAACAGATTTTTAATCTCAATTGGGATAAAGGTAGTCTTCCAAAAAATTCGTTTTCATATGTATGACCAATCATACTAACTTGAATAAAATATTATTAAGGTAAGTTACCATATGAAAGCTGTATTACCAATCCAGACACAAATGAATATGGAATTAGTCACATTATTGTTTTTCTCCTAGTATAGATAATTAAACTGACTTAATACAGTTCTTCATAAAATCAACATAGTTCCTGTTTGTTGTAAAGTTTTCATAAAGTTTCATAAAACTAAATAATTAAAGTCCCTTATAGTGATAACTTATAAATCATTGAGACTTATTTGTAGGTATGTTTTTCATATTTCATGAACTGCTGTATGCTGACATTTTCTTGATTAACTTGTTTAATTTATGTCTAGAAGCCACAGAAGAAGTTTCTTTGGACAGTCCAGAAAGAGAGCCTATCCTCTCCTCTGAGCCTTCTCCTGCAGTTACTCCTGTCACACCTACTGCACTCATTGCTCCTAGAATCGAATCAAAGAGTATTTCTGCTCCAGTGATCTTTGATAGATCCAGAGAAGAGGTATGGAGAGATGTTTATAATTCTAGGTTAATGTGGAAAGAATACACCTTTGTTCCTTACCCATCACTTCGCTCCTGTTAAATTATTCCTAATCAAAGCCTTTGAGACATTTTAGGTGGAAAAACTATACTAAGAAGAAAGGTAAGGTGGCACATGTCTATAATGTCTGTACTTGGGAGGCAGAGGCAGATAGATCTCTGTTAGAAGCCAGCTTGTTTCTACAATCGAATTCTAACTCAGCTAGGGTTACATAGTGAGACCTGATGTTAGAAAATATGGGGGATGCAGGGGGTGACACCTGGTGTTAAATCTCTTTCTCTCAAGAAATTGACCTAGCATATTATGTACATTCTTTTTGTTGTTTGATTTTTGAGACAGGGTCTTTTTAACTCTGTAGCCCTTGCTGGCCTGGAACTCATAGTGTCCCACTGCTTTAAAACTTAGAGCAGTGTTCCTGTCTTAGCGTCTGTATTGCACTCCACCAAATCCTACCACTTACCCTTCTTAAATCAAAGAGTTTGAAGCTAGAGTGTAGCTCAGTGGTAGAGTGATTGCCTCATATGCTCAGGACCCTTGATTCTATCCCCAGAGCCGCCAAAAAAGAAGACTGATTAAATCTTCGTATTTGACATTTGTGGTCTTATGATAATAGTGTAGGCCTCTGAGGGTTCCTATGTTGAACAAGTGATGGAAGCAAGTACTTAAAGTGGTGTTATGAGTAATTTTCTTTGATAGAGTATGTAGTGAATACTGATGATACTTAAGATTGCTATCTAGCATCTATTTATTTTTACAGCACTAAGAATTAGACCCAGGGGCTCTTGCATGAAAAGCAAGCTTTACCTCTGAGCTCTATGCCTAGCCCAAGCCTTTATCCACTTCTTTTTGAACTGCCTCAAACTTTTAGGTGTTTTTGTTGTTGTTGTTGTTTTTCTTTCTTTCTTGGGTTCTTTATTTTTTATTTTTATTTTCCTTAATTTATTTTTATTTAAGTTAGAAACAAGCCTGCTTCACATGTCAGTCCCAGCCCCCCCCCCCCCCTGGGGTAGGGTCTAGGCCCTTCCCTAAGTTCAAGGTTTTAGTTTTAAAAGAAAGAGGTACATATCAATAAAAGTTGCTTCCTCATTACCTGATTCTTTTACTTTATAAAGCATAGAATTATTAAGAAACAACATATTTGGAGAAAAGAAAATCATGGTGTGGAGGTTATTTCAAAAATAAAACATTTAAAAAATTCAAGTAGAAATTTATAACCAATGTAATCACAATTAAATAATGACTATATACAAAGGTGAATAACTTCCCCCAAATAAATCAAATGGAAAGTAGGAAGATATAAATAAATGATTACTCATACTGTCTGATTCCATGATATGAACATTAAAAACAGATAAAATTAGTGAACAGTATATACAACAGTAGATAATCAGGCTATCAGCTGTGTTGGCAGGGTAAAGAAGTTGTGATTGGAAGGCAAGCTGTAAGAGGGTCTGTGGGGATGTACTTGTTGCTTGCATTTCTCATTTTGGTTCTGGTTACAAAGGTGAGTTCATTTTGTGAGAGTTTATTGAGCTGTCCACTTAACAGTTAATACATTTTTCTGAATCACAGTGTCCATGTAGAGAAGATTAGCTAATGTCTCTATAAAAAAGTGACTTTGAAAAGAAAGATGGTTAGGAAAATATGCTTTTGTTACAGCTTTATATTGCTAATATCGTCTTGACATTTTGGAGATTTAATACTGTGAGATTTCTTGTCCTTTGCTTTTTCATTTTGTTTAATGCTATGCATAGAATCCAGGCCTTGCTTATGCTAGGCAGATACACTGCCTCTTGAGTTACACTCCTGGCTGACCTCTCTAAAAACTCTTCCTGCAACAAAAATATTTTAAATGCTTGGGTTTTGTTATTTGTTTTGTTTTTTAAGTCAGGGTAGCCCTGGCTGTCTTGGAACTCACTATACAGAAGAGGCTGGCCTTTATCTGAGAGCTTCACCTGCCTTCTGTTCCTGAGTCTTGGGATCAAAGGCATGGATTTCCATGGCCTGGCTGAAATTTTTTAGTTTTCTTTTGGTTTATAATTTTTTTAAAATATATTTATTGTTATTTCATGTGCATTTGTGTTTTGCCTGTGTGTATGTCTGTGTGAGCTGCCATGTGCTGCTTGGAATTGAACCTGGTTTCTCTGGAAGAGTTGTCAGTGCTCTTAACTGCTGACCATCTCTCTGGCCCCAAAATACTTGTTTTTAAATTGCCTTCAAAAGGGCCTTTCTGTAGTCCCATCAAGTTAATTTTCCCACTTGTTAATTTTGAAAATTGAGTTTTGCAGGACATTTATTGTTGTTGAGGAAAATAATGTTTTTTATTGGATAATTAGAGAAATCATTCTGTTAAAGTTGGTTTTAGATATAATTTCTACAAGCATGTAAGTTTCTATTGGTACAGGTAATGAGTTCTTTTTAGTTATTCAGGTTGGAAATTATGGGGCAGGAGCTCTAATGACAGTTTTGTTCATCTATCAGTTGGGCTGGGCATGCGGCAGTCTGTCCTCTTATGTTGACCAGTTGTAGATCTCTCTAATAGTCTCCATCTTTTGCAAAAGGAAACTTCTTTGATACTGGGTGAGAGCTACACTTATTTGTGCTATAAGGATAAGTATTTAGAATACAATTAGAAATTATATTGGTTTAGAGAAATGACAGCAGTACGATCTCTGTAGGGCACAGGCCCTCTCTAGACACAGATAGCTGACCAGAACTGCAGTACTAGGCATAAATTCCCTCCTGTTAACAGGGCTATGAATCCAATTAGACAGCTGCTGGTTACCTTCAAGAGAAATGGAATTTTTAACACCAAAATATACTTTTATAGATTGAAGAAGAAGCGAATGGAGATATTTTTGATATAGAAATTGGTGTGTCAGATCCAGAAAAAGTTGGTGAGTCATTATTATTTTCTGTACTTCTTTTTGATTGATTTGATTATTATATCCTACAGTTTTACACTTACATGGTTATGGTGCTTTTCTTTTAAATTTTTTTGTATTTAAAACATTTAATTCAATTAATTTATTTTTAATTATTTTTGTGGTACTAAGAATTAAACCCAGGTTTTATATACACTAGTCTACCTTTTGCCTCTTCTAGTCCAAGACATGAATTTTAATAATTTTCTTTGACTTCTTTCTTTATAGGTGATGGCATGAATGCTTACATGGCATATAGAGTAACAACAAAGGTGAGCTTTTTGCTTCTTTAATAAAGTGTTGGCCCCTCACTCTGTGTGGTAGAGAGGATGTGAGCATAAGAATGAGAATTTACAGGAAGTGAACTAATGTAAACCTGAAGATTAGGGATAGCCAAGGTAGTTCTAAGGTGAGACATGGGTGAGGGAGTGAGTGGGAACGGGAAGGAGGAGGAGTCAAGGCATTGGGCTTTCTAGAGTCCAGAGTCCTGTCTGTAAGTGACTCCTGACTGCTTCTTCTTATGGATTTCGAGTAACCACATTAAAGAGTTCTGATTTCATCCTTATCATACAGGAGAGCAGTTAGAGAGGGTCTGACAAAAGCATGGCACTATTAGATTTTCTTTAGGGCGGCTCTGTCTTAACTCAGTATGAATTGGGAGGATCCAAGTACAGGTCAAGACTTCCATTTAAAGGCCACTGCAGTTACTGAAGGATTAAGTTTTGACACAGAAAGCAAGTCTGTCATAGTGTAGCTCAGTTAGTTAGAGTGCCTGTACACTCTCCAGTGTACAGAACAAACTGGAAGTGGTACACACCTGTGATTTCAACACTCAGGAGGTAGGTAGGGGCAGGTGCAGCAGAAAGAAGTTCCTATTGCTCTAAGCCAGCTTGAGAAACACAAACAACTACAACCAGGGAGGGCATTGATACTTGATACCAAAGAAACAATTTTGAAAGTAATCAAAATAATTTTTTGAATTATATAAGTAGGAGAATCGATGTTTGAGTATAAGGAGTCATGAAGATATTTATTTATGATACAGGAAGTTTGTAGTTGGAGAAGGACAAGATGGGGAGGGACACAGTGAGGTGGGGTAAGTTTTGTTAATTGTTGAAACAAGTCCTTATTAAAACCCTTACTATGGTTTGGGGCTCTGTTGCAAGCACCTGTCAATGGCAGTAAACAGTAGAGGAAAGTGCTGACCTTATGGTAAGGGTCTCTGTCTCTGACTCTAGTAGGGAAAATTCAGTGAGTTTGAGTTCAGTGTGGAGCTGCCTTTTGGGAGGTCTGGGCCATGGGTAAATATTGAAGAATCAGTAACCTATGCATTGTGAGCTCAAAGCTATCCTGTATCAAGACCTGCCTCAGAACGAGAGAAGGGGGAAACCATTAGCAAAAGTACAGTAGAGAAGATGTTAAAGATCAAACATAGAATAAAGCAAGTATTTTCTAACCTTATGTTACTTTTTAAAAAATATGTCTTTGGCCTTAAATTTTAGTTTGGCTGTTGTTGTTATCTATAAGCCATACGAGATACTCTGCAGTCATTTGCAAATTAGAGCAGACTACACTTGCAGTTACATGCAGTATTAATTTGTAAATGATCGCTTCATATTAACAATGTGAAATACCTGTTCTTGATTTGTAGACTTCTCTTTCCATGTTCAGTAAGAGTGAATTTTCAGTCAAAAGAAGATTCAGTGACTTTCTTGGTTTGCATAGCAAATTAGCAAGCAAATATTTACATGTTGGTTACATTGTGCCACCAGCTCCAGAAAAGAGTATAGTAGGTAAGCATAAATCAGAACATTACTTTTTGCTGTTCCTAGTTCAATTTTAGCTGTTGTGGTTCATATATCTCTTAATCATCCCCAGTCAGGGCTCCTGTCTAGAGGTACAGGTTTATATGTGTTGTGATGATCTTCTGTATCCTTGAAGAACATGTAGCTTGTCTTTTTAGTTTCCAACATAAAAATATCTGGTTGTTGAATATTGGGTTGAAATTGATCAAATTGAAGGAGGTTAGAAACTAATTTCTAGGGTCATTAGAATACCAATTTACTGAGTCCTTTTCTGGTGATATTTGTGTTGTTAAAATGTTAATATTTTCTCTGAGAGCTAGGTCCTATTTGGTGTTCAACTATATATTATCCAAAGAGAAGTTCAATTTAGCCTTGCTCATATAAGAGCTATTTAAATTCTTCTTAGCTTATTTAGTTCCCAGCCAGGTTTAGTGGGATCCTGTCTGAAACCCACAGGTCCTCCCTCCTCTGCCTCCCAGGTGCCTGAAATAAAACAAAAATCATTACTGTGATCAGCAGTAAGGACTTAGTTTTCAAAATTCAGAAAATTTCAAAAGAAGCAGAGCCTTTGTTATCTTTACTATGAAATTTTTTGCTGCTTATTGTGTGTGTTGAGCGGTGTCACTCTTGCTACCTCATGCATATGGAGGACAAGACAATTTATGGAAATTGGTGCTTTCCTTCCAAGTGGATCCCTGGGATTGAACTCAGGTTAGTCAGGTTTGGCAGCAAGCATCTTCATACACTGAGCTATCTCAATGGCCCCATTCCACTTTTAAGACTTAGGTCTTAAAATTTGTAGGGAGAGCATGTAGTAAATTCATCAATTGCATTTACCACGTTTCATCATTCCATAAAGACCTTTATTGACATTGACTGACTATAGCTTTTTAAACTCCATTTTATGTGTTAAAGTGTAGGAATGGGGCCCAAGGAGGTGGCTTGCTACTTTTGCAAAGAGCTAGAGTTTGTTTCCCAGGACCCACATTAGACACCTGTCTCACAACTGCCTATAACTCCAACTCCAGAGGATCTGCTGTCCTCATCTGGTCTCTGCAACAACTATATGCATGTGTATGTAACAAACTACACCCATATACAGAAGTAAATAATGAAATCTTTTTAAAAAGAATGTAGGGGGGGAAATGAAACTGGAGATCTAGGTCAGAGGTAGAGTACTTGTCTAGCATTCATGAGGCCTTGGGTTCAAGCCCAAGGGAGAAAATAGTCTTGAAATATCAAAACATTAGTGTTTTTAAAGTGTGAAGTACCATAAAAATGAAATTTTTATGTAAGCTTTTATATAAATTTGCTGTATGAGTTCAAAACCCACAAATACAGTTTAAGTTGTACTTTATTTACATGTTCCTGCTGTAGATATTTATTCATTAGATATTAACACATCATGAGATGTAATTCTTCAAAGTAGGTTTCTCTTTCAATAAGGTCCCAGCTACCAACATAGGGACATTACTATAAAGTTAAAAGTATATTTTTATTATGATGATCTGTTTCATAATAATCTAAAGTTCTTACAAATTTCATCTAACTTCTTCAAAGGTATGACCAAGGTCAAAGTAGGTAAAGAAGACTCATCGTCCACTGAGTTTGTAGAAAAACGAAGAGCGGCGCTGGAGAGGTAATTCCAAGTCACAGCACCACTGTCGCCATGCTTTCTTTAGTCCTCAGCTTTGTAGTCTAATAGCATGACACCTGTTTCTGTATCATGTTATAAGCAGGAAATTAAAGCAATGAATTAATAGATGTTAAGATCATATCATAATCACCAAGAGCACTAAAAACCGACTATAGCAGGACGTTGGTGTCTCGAGCCTTTAATCCCAGCACTAGGGAGACAGACGCAGGCGGATCTCTGTGAGTTCGAGGCCAGCCTGGTCTCCAGAGCGAGTTCCAGGATAGGCTCCAAAGCTACACAGAGAAACCCTGTCTTGAAAAAAGAAAAAAAAAAAAAAAAAACTGATTATAAATGTAAGAGGAAAACATGGAAACTATGCTTGCAGGAACACCTGGTAAATGTCTGGAGAAGCCATGTGTGGTGTACACTCCTACAATCCCAGTATTCAATAATCTGGCAGAAGGACTTTTAGCCCTGGCATGTCCTGGGCTACATAGAAAGACCGAGTCTCAAAAAACAAAACAGGCAGGAGACTGGTCCTTCATGGAGAAATGCTTGTATAACATCTCTGATGCCTTGAACCACACCCTCAGGACAGCCCCTTCCCAAATATAATGGGTATAAATTACTTAGATGCGTGGAAAGTTATACCATATCTATCTACTATTTTAATTATGCCATATTTACCTACTATCTTACCTAATGAATTAGTTATAGTTTGTATAAATTGAATTTTTAGATTAGATTTATTTTAATTTATATGAGTGTTTTGTCTGATTGTAAATGCAAGCTTGGTGCCTATGGAGTTCAGAAGAGTGGGTTAGATTTCCTGAAACTGGAGTTTACAAATGGTTGTGAACCACCGTGTAGGTTCTGGGAATAGACCTGGATCTTCTTCAAGAACAAACAATTCTTTGTAATTACTGAGCCATCTCTCTAGCCCTAAGTTGTTTGAATAATTGTTTGGTGTAAGCACTGTTAAACAATGAAAACTGCATGTGTGTGCCCTTACATTTTTGTGTACTTGATTTTGACTTTAATGGATAGTAATGTTACTCCTTGCTTATTCATTATAAATTAAAGACTAATTATAACATGTTATATCTTCCTTTAGAGTATATAATTATACATGTCCTATAGATTTAAAGACTTGCTTTCTTTCTTTCCTTTTTGAGACAAGGTTTCACTGTGTAGTCCTGGTTGGTCTTGAGCATAAAGATCCGTCTTCTTCTGGGTCCTACACGACCAGGCACTGCCACACCTGGCCTAAAGCTTACCTTTTTAATGGAAGACTAGAATATTCCCAGTCTAGTTTCTTAACATATAGTCCTTCCTTCCTTTGATGAAATGTGAAAACAAACGTGAGACTATCAGAAGTCAACTCTATAGTACAACAAACCTTTTTTGTTTTGTTTTTTTGGAGATAGGCTCTTACTATGTAGTCTCGGCTGGTATGGAAATCACTTAGTAGACAAGGCTGCTTCCAAGTACTGGGATTAAATGTGTGAACCACACATGATTCTGGTCACTGAAGCTTTACCAGTTTCTAATAGCATAGTTAATTTTATCTGCTTCTCATTTTTCCTTCTGCCTTAAAATCAGTGACTAAGGAGGTAGAATAGGCTTTTAGGAGTGTATGTGTATTTGTGGTACAAATTAATTTTTACAACTATTTTTGAAGTAACTTTGCTTTGGTAATAAATTGTTCACATTTTAAGAAAATTCCTTAGTAAAGTCAAGTTAAACCATATTCCATTTTTAAAAAAAGCTAAAGAGAGCAGGAGAGAGCCCAGCAGCTAAGAGTACTGGCTGCTCGTTTACAGGACCCACATTCAGTTACCAGCATTTCATGGTCACTCTAACTCCAGTTCCAGGGGATCTGATGCCTTCTTCTGACCTCTGTGGGCACTATATACATACAGTATACAGACATACAGGCAGGCAAAACATTCTTACACTTAAAATACAATTTTTTTTTTTTTTTTGTCTCTTGAGATAGGTTCTCTCCAAGTAGCCTTGACTGTCCTGGAAACACACTCTGTAGACAAGGCTGGCCTTGAACTCAGAGATCTACTTGCATTTGCCTGGGATTAAAGGCATGGACCACCACTGCCCAGTATAAATTACAATTTTTTAAAGTTTAAAAATAGGGGCTGGAGAGATGGCTCAGGGGTTAGGTAGGAGCATTGACTGCTTTTCCAGAGGACCTGGGTTCAATTCCCAGCACCCATATGGCAGCTGATTACTGTTTGTAACTCTAAGACCTGACACTTATACAAACATACATGCAGGCAAAACACCAATGCAAATAAAATAAAAATATTTTAACATTTAAAAATAAATTTAATATCTAAAGAATATGTAGTTTACTATTTTTAAATTTAAAAGACTGAAAACGGGGATCATTTCAGAAAGAATCTAGTTACTCAAAATGATCTAAATTGAATCAGAAGTTTAAGCACTGGAATTGATTGTGTTGCAAGAGAAGTCATAGAAAGAATACTTTAAAGATTAAAGGCTTGTAATGTTCTTTCTTGGTTTTCTTAATTCTGAAAATGTAACCATACCTCTTGGAGAAACATTTCAAGTCTTATTTTCCTATGAGTAAGTTGGGTTTTTTTTTATTATCATTACTTTGTATTTTATTTTGGTTTTGGTTTTTTCAGACAGAATCTCCATAGCTGTGTGTCTTGGAACTCACTCTGTAGACCAGGCAAGTCCTGAACTTAGAGATCTGCCTGTCTCTACCTCCCAAGTGCAAGCTAGCATCAAAGGTGTGCGCCATTACACCCTGTGAGGAAGTTTGAAAAGTTTGGATGGCATGCTGGCTTAGACATTAAGATTTGTTGTGCCAGGAGCACAGTGTCCTTCTAGTTTGACTGTACTGTATAGTCCATTACGGTAGCTTCATGCAGTACAAAGTGTCTTTTAATTTCAGTAGTCCCTTAAAAGTCTCGGTTAGCATACAAAGTGGGTATCATGACATTTCATGTGTTGTCATACTTTGTTCTAATCCATCCCACTTCTACATGCAGGTACTTTCTTTACTGAAAGTTGAATGCTACCTTAAGTGTAATTAAATGACTTATAGAATAGATGAAATGGAAATGATTGATTTCAGCTTAACTCTAATACTGTTTGGCCTGAGCCAGTGAGATGGCTCAGCACGTAAAGGTGCTTGCTATGCAAGCCTTGCAACCCTGAGTTCAATCCCTGAAACCCACATAAAGGTCAAATGAGAGAACCAGTTCTACAAAGTAGCCTCTCATCTCCATGTGTACGCCATGCACTTGTATGCTTGACTACAATCACAATAATAATAAAACTGATTGTTTTATAAAACCAGAAAGAGATAGTTAAGTATCCAAACATCCCCTGTGCTATACTCAGTAAAGTAAGCAGAGAATACTTTTATTAAGAATATAATAGGTGGGCATGCGACTCATACTTGTAATTCTACTAGGGAGTCTGAGTGAGGCAGGAGGATGCTACATCTTTGCTAGCCTGAGCTGTATTTTAAAAAAACGGGAGGAGGTCAAAAGGCAAGCAAGTATATCTTAAGCCAAACAGACACAAAGACATTTAGAGAGGTATGATTTAGAATGTGCTTTCATTTGAAATCTGCCCTGTACTACAATATTTATGTGACCTTGGGCAACAAGTAACTTCAGTGTATAATTATCTCTAAATGAATTGGTTAGGATCAGTGTTCATGTCAAGCATCTAAAAAACGTCATTTGCAAGACCCAAGCAGATAAGATAGATTGATTAATCCTACTCTTCCACATCAAGGAATTTGGAGATTGGTCACTGTCTAGGGTTATCTGATTTACCAGGAAGTTCTGTTGCTTGTTTCCTAAACATGGACTCTTCAGTCTAGCGGTTAGCAGTCCAGAGATTTAATTAGCTACATATTCTCCTAATGGACTCCTTGACAATTCTATTCTTCTTTCTTTTCATAGAAACACAACTTGGCTGGATGTAGTTTCAAAAGCCTGTAGTCACAGTACCTGGGAGTTAGAGGGAAAAGATCAAGAATGCAAGTCACCCTCAATTACATAGAGAGTTTGAGGCCAGCCTGCACTACATGAGACAGTTTCAAAACAAACAAAATCACTGCATGGCAGATTGCACAATCTAATGTCACTCAGTAAAACCAAAGTTCTTCAAATTGACTACAAATCCCCACCCGACCTGCACTATTCATTCATTTCCAAAATGCTGGAGATCTCACATGCTGCCACACTTGGCTGGAATGCTTTGTAGAGATTGATTGTTACATGCATGACTGGTATGGGAGCACCTACTGTTTGCCAGCATTGAAATTAACCATCTATAAAGACTGCTTCATGTAGTATGAGTCTAAATTGAATAGCTTTATCAATAGTATTAGGAGAATTTTATTGTTAAAAATTGTGAATCTGAGTCTTACTATTTAAAAATAACATTTAAAATTTTAACTCCAAGCCTTCTTATTAGTCATGTCTATGGGTGTTTTGCCTGCATGTATGTTTGTACATCATATGTGTGCAGTACCAGCTAATGCCAGAAGAGAGTATTGGATCCTCTGGAGCCGGAGTTTCAGGTGGTTGTGAGCTGCAGTGTATGTGCTGGGAATTAAACCCAGCTCCTCTGGAAAATCAACCACTGCTCTTAATAGCTGAGGTATCTCCAGCCCCAACTCGAAGCATGTTTTATAACTCTGGAGGGGGGCGGGGCTTGAGCTCTCTCATGCGCACTTGCTCTCTTGAGCACGTTTAGAGGTTGAGTCATCAGGTATTTTCCTAAGTCACACGCTATCTTAATTTTTTGATACAAGGTCTCTCACTGAGCCTGGAGTGTTCCAGTTAACCAATTTGTAAGACTGGCTGGCTAGCAAGCCCCGAGGATTTTGAAATAAAATAGAAACATTACTATAATATAGGGAAACTTTTGTTTTGTTTTGTTTTTGTTTTTTTGAGACAGGGAGCCTATTCTGGCACTTGCTCTGTAGACCAGGATGGCCTCGAACTCACAGAGATCCACCTTCCGAGTGCTGGCATTAAAGGTGTGTGCCACCGCCGCCCAGCCTTTTTTAAAACTATATATGGATGTTTTTCCCACATGCAGGTCTGTATACTATGTGTGTACCTGGTACTCACAGAGGCCAGAAGAGGGTGTTGGATCCCCTGGAACTAGAGTTACAAACAGTTGTGAGCTGTCATGTGGGTGCTAGGAACTGATCCCAGGTTCTCTGGAAGAATGGTAGTGCTCTTTTAACTGCCTTTAACAGCCTGGAAGGAAACATTTTTAACAAAATTGGAGTAGATAAGTGAGAATCAACTAGTTAATCTTTTTCATTTCTGTGAAATCATGATTGCTGATTTATTATGAATAGCAAGCAAAAACAGGCTTTTCTTGGAAGATAATGACTAAAATTTATGAAATAAAAGTTAAAAAAAAAGGAAATTGCTAGGCATGATAGTATATATATTTATAACTCCAGCCCTTGGGAAGCTAATACAGGAGGATAGCAAATAGACCAATCTGGGCTACTTAATGAGAACTTGTCTCCCCCCAAAAAAAGGAAACAATGAAGAAAATTTACTCTTCTTCAAATCAAAACCAAGGACCAAAAGCTGATTGTTGTTTAAATGTACCAATAAGCAGAACTATTGATAGGCAATCTCCTAATTTGTAGATAGTAGTAATTACACTTGATGACAAGAAAATACACATGTTAATTTACTTCTCTAAAATTGTAGATAGAAACATATTAACTTTACCCAAAGGCAAATTGTTACACAAGCTCATACACCCTTTTGTAACTAAAATGTCACAGTGAGAAGTGAATAAAGTATTTACTTTGTCCCCCCTTTCAAAAGGTGAGTAAAGGGTCTAGAGGGATAGTTCAAAGTTTAAGAGTACTTGCTGCTCTTGCAGAGGATGTGGGTTTGTTCCCAGTACCTGCATGGTGGCTCACAACTACCTCTGAGTCTAGCTCTGGCTCTCATGGAGACCAGACTTGTGTGTGTGGCACATGTAGGCACTTACACGTACACATAATACACAATAATTCTTAGAAAATGAGATAGGATCTCATATGTAGACCTAACTGGTCTAGAACTTGCTATGTTAGACCAGGGTGGCCTCTAACTCACAGAGATCCGCCTCCCTCTGCTTCCCAAGTGCTGGGATTAAGGTGTGTACCACCATGCCCTATTCAATATATATAACATTCTAGATAGTGAGTGCAGACTAATAAGAGATAGATTGAAGATACTTTTTACCTAGTTATGTTTATTCATTTGTTGAAACACAGTTTAAAACTGTACTAAAATTGGATCAATTCAACTCTTAAATCTAGGTATCTGCAGAGAACAGTAAAGCATCCGACCTTGCTTCAGGACCCCGACTTAAGGCAGTTCTTGGAAAGCTCAGAGGTATCTGTCCTTTAATTTGCCTCATTCTCCTTTGTAATAACAAAAACAAGAGTAGCAATTCAGTAAATGATTAGTTAGTGGACACAGTAAGACAGTATGCTGGGACTTTGGGTTCTGCTGAACTAAATTACTATCAGACACCTTCTGTTAGTGATAGAGGGTGATCAGTTCCTTTCTTGAAAAGTTTGAACTGGATTTAATCAAATGATTATAAATAGTTTTACTGTCACTGCCCTGATTGTTACTGCTTCAGATTTTTATAAAAAGCATTGCCTGAGTCTCAGAATTTTCTAGAAACTCACAAGCACAGCCTTAACAGAGCATGGGGAGATTTTCTCAGGAGCGTCTTTGCTCACCAGCAGCTTGTTTGTGCTTGCAGACAGGTGGCCAGTGGTAGAGCTTGGCAATTTCTTAATGTATTTTGACAAACAGCATTTGTTCTATCTAAATGTAAACGTGCAGAAGAAAAGCAAATGGAAAGTCTATTTTTTAAGTTTTCCTTTGAGATTGTACAAGTAGTGCATTTGAGAAATTAGATCTCACTGTTGAAATGTATGAGCCTGAAATGCATACGCCTCTTTTCTCTTTTCTTCCCTCTCTTTTCTTTATTTTAGGAGGGGTATCCCTTTTGTGCCCAGTTAAATCTCTAGGCTTTTAACCGGTTTGTTTGCCCTTATTTGTCATTCAATTCCAGCTGCCGAGAGCAGTTAATACACAGGCTCTGAGTGGAGCAGGAATATTGAGGATGGTGAACAAGGCTGCCGACGCTGTCAACAAAATGACAATCAAGATGAATGAATCGGATGCAGTAAGAGCTGATTTTTCGACTTGAATAATGAAATGAATTAATGAGCCCAACAATTGCATTTTAAAGCTGTACAAGCAGAAAATAGGATATTAATTTGCTTATTGAGTTCAGTTCTCAGCTACATCAGTTGACCACCATGGTTATATATGGCTAATTTGCTGTTCTAAAACAAGGAAGGTAGCTTGCTATTGGTAACCTAATTTACAATGGTTTGTTCGTCCTAAATTAGCTCCATTTTTCATTTTTTTTTTCTTAGTGGTTTGAAGAAAAGCAACAACAATTTGAAAATCTTGACCAGCAACTTCGGAAACTTCATGCCAGTGTTGAAGCCTTGGTCTGCCATAGAAAAGGTTTGTTTGCCTTGTTAAAGTGAATCCTCTGCAGCGACCATGGGAAGGAAGACAGTTTCAGAGAATAGTTTGGGTAGAGTATGGTGCATATAAGAGGCTGAAGCAGAACTGCCATGCATTTGAAACTAGCCCAGAGTACATAGAGAGACATCATAAGACAGAAAAGGGATATTTTGTTTTAATATCATTTAAAACTTTCTGCTAGATTTTGATCTGACTTCTAGTTTAAAATTAGAAAAACCAAAAGCTTATAAAACTTTTAATTTCAGACTTAAAATTATTACTCATCTGGTCAACTCTTGATACGTTTATAATTTAAGAGATAAAATTGTTTTATTAGTAACTGATTATAATTTGAGATTCTAAAATTTGTATTTGTAGGTAGGGCTCATATTATGTCTCAGTGATAGAGTGCTTGTGTAGCATGCATGAGACCCTAAGTTCAATTCTTTGAACCATGGTGGAGAAAATTAAAAACTGATATTTACAGCTTTTCTTGAAAGTATTTGTATTGTGCCTCTATTTCTTGAAAAACTGTGAATTATTTTGTATATGTTTCCAAGTATTTAGGGGCTAGAGATGTCCCCTACTTGGTATTGCTTGGTGAACAAGCAGAAGGCCCCTGTATTTGAGCTCCAGCACCAACTGAACTGGGCAGTCAGGAGTTCAGGGCCAGCCTCTATATGTGAAGTGCAGGGTCAGCCTGGGCTAGGGACAAAAAAGAATTATGAAGTCCAAACCATGTTATTTAAAACTAGGTTTTGGGAGTAAAATGTTGATAGAAATTTTGAATTGTAATTTCTTTTTTTAATCCACAAGGTTTTGGGTTGGATTATTGTTTGTTTTGCTCTAACTTTGGGGGTGAGGGTATTTGTAATGTCTAAGACTCTTCATAATGGTTTTTTAAGATACTTACTATGTGATGTTTAATGGATTTCATTAAGGTAACAGTAATAAAACTAATTACTTAGGATAAATTATTTTAAAATTTATCTTTATTTATGTGCATTGGTGTTTTGCTTGCATGCATGTCTGTGTGAGGGTGCCAGATCCCTTGGAACTGGAATTGCAGACAGTTGTAGACTGCCATGTGGGTGCTGGGAATTGAAGCTAGGTCCTCTGGAAGAACAGCCAGTGCTCTTTTGAGCCATTTCTCTAGCCCCCATATGATTATTATTTCTATATAATAGTTTGTTATAGCTTTACTGTTTGTATTATATATCTCTTAGGAGGTAGGCTTTGGATTTTTTTTTTTAAAGAAATTATAGAGTAATGGTACAGTTTTCTGAAAGTGTAATTCTTAGTCATTGTTAGTAGCCTTTAAACACAGAAGTTTTCTTCATTTGAAGTACTTGGAATAGTTATATTTAAAATAATCTAGAAATTCTGATTGGAGAAATTAAGTGTTTGAGGTCAGCCTGAACTAAATAATGAGTTTCAGGCTAGCTCTTCTTTCAAAAAAAAAAAAAAAAAAAAAAAAAAACTCTTAATTTCATATACATGATGTATTTACCTTGTTTTTCCTTCTGGGTAGATAAGATTTTCATTAAAAATTAAGACATTATTTTCAATGACAAATGTTTAAATGCCAAAGAGCATAGTATAAATTGTGATCTTTTAAAAAAAGTATTATTCTTAATTATATGTACTTCTGTGTGCCAGTGTGTGTGTTTACAACTTGGGTTCTCCAGAACAGCAGTACACACTCTTAACCTTGGAGTCATCTCTCCAGCCCTTTTAATTTTTATCTTTATGTTTCTTATATCAGAAACACACTGAAGCCTTTAACAGAATGCAGAAAAGAATAAATGAGCACTTTGGGGTAAAAAAGGGATGGCAGGTTATTGAATTATTTAGGCAGTTTACCATCTGAAAACATAAGCTGTGATTCTTTTGTGGAGGGTTGTGGGACTATTCTGGGATTGGGTGTAAATACAGGCCCTTGTTCATGCTGGGTTAGTGCTCTGCAGCCATTATTCCATACAGCAGTGGTGTTTCTACTAGCATCTGTGCCCAAGGCATTCTATTGACTGTTTCATACTAAATTCTAATAAATAAAATTAGAGAGAATGTAGAGAATGAATATAATATTAAAATTTTTCTAACAAATACTAAGTGCTTTTTTTTTTTTTTAATTTCAGAGCTTTCAGCCAACACAGCTGCCTTTGCTAAGAGTGCTGCCATGCTAGGTAATTCTGAGGACCACACTGCCCTGTCTAGAGCCTTGTCTCAGCTTGCAGAGGTTGAGGAGAAGATAGACCAATTACATCAAGAACAAGCTTTTGCTGACTTTTACATGTTCTCAGAACTTCTTAGTGATTATATTCGGCTCATTGCTGCAGTGAAAGTAAGCCCTATTTTACAAGCTTTCTTACATTCTTTTTACTTAAGCCATTTGCTTTAGATATAATTTAGACTAGACATAATACGAATTGTCTGTAATACCTGGGTAGCCGATACCAATCTGGATTACATAGCAAAACACACAACACACACACACACACACACACACACACTGTCAGAGATAAATTTAAGTGAGAAAATCCTACTGACTGCACTACTGCATAAAAAATAACTTAAATGAGTATTTGTAAATACCATTTTTGTCTCTTACGACATGGATAGTACAATAAAACAGTTTTTAAAAAGTCTAAGGGCAACGGCTGGAGAGATGGCTCAGCAGTTATGAGCACTGGCTGCTCGTCCAGAGGACATGAGTTCAATTTCCAGCATCCACATGGAGACTCATTCCTGTCTGTAATTCCAGTTCCAAAGTTTCTGACACCCTAACATAGACATACATGCAGGCAATAATTTTGAAGAAATAAAGGAGGCGGGGGCTGGAGAGATTGCTCAGCCATTAAAGTCTAGGCTCACAACCAAAAATATAAGAAGTCTAAGGAATGCCAAATAAGAAGTGAAAACAGTATACATTTATTTTCATATTCATATTAAAAATTGTAACTATTAACATTTATTTGCTCATTCTAGCAGTAACTGAAGCTGCCTATTGGTTCTATTTTCATCAGTAAAGCTTTTTAGGCAGTAATAAATAAAATTGGATAAAAGCCAGGCGGTGGTGACACCTTTAATCATAGGCAGGTGGATTTCTGTGACTTCAAGGCCAGCATGATCTCCAGAGCAAGTGCCAGGATAGGCTCCAAAAATCTACACAGAGAAACCCTGTGTGTGTGTGTGGCGGGGGGACACGGGGGAAGTGGGGGGGGGATAGGATGAAAGTAGGAATGATGGTTGTCTTAATAGTTCAATGGTTCAGGAGGTCTTTAGCATGAATTTGGACAATAAACAGATTTTCTGTCTGTGTACTCAAATGTGTAGTCACATATTTATAGATGAAATGACACTAAATTATACCACAGATTATATTATATAATACTAGATTTTTTAAAAACCTAGTTGCAGAAGGAACCTAGTTAAAAATTGTTGTTCTGCAAATGTCTTTAGTATTCATACCTCAAACTGAGCTATCAATCTCTCAGTATTTTTCAGAAGATATTTTGTGATGTTACAGTATCTTTTAAGTTACTGTTATGGTTGAAAGTCATAATGAGGAAGATCCAGCTATTACCCACTGTTTTACCTTGAATTCAAACATTTATAGAGCTAATGAGACCATCTTCCTCTCCTTTCTTGGCACACTGCCTATTGATGTTTTGTGAGCTAGCTTCAGGAATCAGATGCCATCCCTCTTCTGGCCTCCACAGATGTGCCTCACATATACCACATGTACAGAAGTAATGATAAGTCTTTAAACAGCAAAACAAAAATGCATAAGAAGAGACACCCATGAATCAAGGAGGGAAACTGACAGTGTCTTTGAAGACATGCTGAGAAGAGCTTCCCAGGGAAAGGCCCCATGGTAGGGTAGGCCTGCCTGTAATGACCCCTCAGGAAAAAGCTTTCTTCCCACACCTGAAATCTTGTTAGGTTTTTACATTCTTTGAAATTAGTTAGTTGTGCCTAAGTTGTGAAGATCCCAAAGACCACCATGGAGACATACCCACCAAACTGCAAAAGCAAGGTTTATTGTTCATCTAACCATGACAAGGATCCACGTCTAGCAAGCTGATGCAGCAGCCTCCAGAGGAAGTGGAGTTCCCTGTCTACTGCTAGGTTTTAAAGGAAAAAATCACAGGATTAAATCAGTAGGTACAGGTTGGTTTCTGATTGGTTGACATTTGTGAAGAATTAGGGGAATTTTTCAAAGTCATATTTTGGCATGAAATACCTAATAGTTTTCAGAACTGTATCCTGGAGACTACAGGGGAGTTTTTTTTTTTTTTTTTTTTTTTTTTTTCCCCCCTGGCCTTTTGTGGCAAAACAGTTCCCAGGAACCAAGTATCTAGGAGGCTAAGGGTGGTTCTGGAGTTTGTGTTCAGTTTTGACCCTAGGCTCCGAGAGGCTAAGGGGATCTGGAGTTTCTTTGTGTCATGTGTTGAGTTAGAGGCCTACATGTCTTTTCTGTAACCTGTCATGGCTGCTAAATCAGGGGGCTGAGTGAGGGTCTGGTCCCTTCAGTTACATCCATGTTTTCCAAAGTTTTCTAGAGAATTCTGGCATCAAAAGATGTGCCACAATCAGCTGGGCATGGGAAGAGTTATTTAACTTTGTTTAATCCAGAGGCACCTAAGTTTATATGAAAAATTCTTTTTTCATACCAAAACTCATTTCCATTTAAGTATCAAAGGTGTGTTGAGAAATGCTGAAGGTAGACTGACTAAGAGAGTCACAAAACTGGTCAGGTTTTGTGAAGGCAAAAAGCTCTTCAGATCAACTTCTACTAAAATGTTGGTCAGGTCAGCTGCCTGAGCGTAAGAGATCAGAGTCCTAAGATCGAGTAACAGGCAAGAGTTAGACACACAGGACTATTCAGATAACCAAAAGGACACATTTCCCTCTCCATACACAAGACCTATAGTTTCTCCGAAAGCAGTATTAATCTCTTAAGATTCTTTAGTGTCTTCATAAAAGACTAGCTATGCATGTACATGACACTAATTTTTATTCCTATCCCTACTTGATTTGTGCTTTTGTCAGTACATTCTCCAGATTCCTCCCTCCCCCTCTCCCTCCCTCCCTCCC